AGCTGAGACGGCCTTCGACAGACGACGGAAAATGTCAGTAATGGCGCGGGACATTTGTCAACATCACACGACCAAAAGCAACACACAAGTCGGTGACCTTTCGAAGGATTGACACAATTTGTCCCGCCGGTCAGCACTTCTGTCATCAAGACACTGGGCGATGATTACGGTCGAGAGATTCAGGTCCTCCGACAGACGCTGAAACAGCAGACGGTCGAAAACAACGACGTCGACAGTCGGAATGGCAGGTGTCGTTGCCGAATTAACGGGAACAAAGCAAGGACGGTACGCATGGCCGAGTGAGCCAGCAAACGAACCCAACGATGTGCGTATGAGTAACATCCGTTGGATGCCGTTAATTATAATAAACATAATAACATAAATCACCGGGTGAACGCCGAACAACCAAATTGAACGAAGACACTAGAACGCATTAAAAGCAAAACAAAAACAAAAAAGATAACCTACTTCAATTGGGAAAATTTCAAAAAAAGTTTATTAAAATAAACAGAGATTTAGTAGTGTTTACTGTAACTGCTTAGTTTCAGTCAAACCACGTTAACCATCCTTAGGACAAAAAATTGCAAATAGGTCAGCACCCAAGGCACTTTGGGCGCAGCTGCTTGACTTCCTCCGACTCATTGTTTGCCTTGAGGATAGCTAATTTCATTTGGCTGAAAAGCCCTCACTTATAGAAAAGACCTTCGTCTGTTTCGTTGGGTCTACAACCACTGAAGTGGCAATTTTTGAAGAAGAACACAGAAACAAAATGGATTTCATAAATTGCTTACCATATTTTACGGTTTCAACATAATCATACACATATTGTAGGTCGAAAACTAATACAGGAGATGCAAAGAAAAAGAACAGTATAAGATGAGGTTTTAGGAAAGGCTCATTAGTGTTTTATTCAAATAAAAGAATTTCCATAACTCATTTTCGAAAATTACGAACCTTTTTTTTCAGTGTACCTTTGCGAAATATATGTTCAATTATTCAGATTTTATAGGTATGCGAGGTGGAGTACCTCTGTAGATGCGAGAAATACGAAAAGGGATTTGGCCTTGTTACACAAGCTGGTTGAACATAACCATACACTCCAGCTCATGAGCATTTCAGTTTAAACAAAAACGCGGCAGATAACAACCAGGATGCCAGAATCTAACTCTTAGGAATAAGGTAGAGGCAGATCTGCTTTGAAGAGGAATATTTCCATCAGCGATATTGTAAGCGGTGCCTCAGAGCAAAAGCGTTGGAGTAAATGATGTATGCCCAACCAGTTTGTCTAACAGGATCAACCTCTGTGTCTTAATCTCCACACCTACAGAGGTCATCTGTGCTAAGAAAAGAAGAGCATCATTCCTTATGTGATCCTGCCATTTAACCATCATTATGGGCCAAGGCCAACGCTGCTGTACGAAGTTCAACCGTCGCTCTTCACTCTTCTCTAGAACAATTTTCTCCATGTCACAGAG